CTCACCCCAGCAGGTGGTCACCACAGCAGGTAGTCACCACAGCAGGTAGTCACCACAGCAGGTGGTCACCACAGCAGGTGGCTACCACAGTAGGTAGTCACTACAGCAGGTGGTCACCACAGCAGGTAGTCACCACAGCAGGTAGTCACCCCAGCAGGTGGTCACCACAGCAGGTAGTCACCCCAGCAGGTAGTCACCCCAGCAGGTGGTCACCACAGCAGGTGGTCACCCCAGCAGGTAGTCACCACAGCAGGTAGTCACCACAGCAGGTAGTCACCAGAGCAGGTAGTCACCCCAGCAGGTTGTCACCACAGCAGGTGGTCACCACAGCAGTAGTCACCAGAGCAGGTAGTCACCACAGCAGGTAGTCACCCCAGCAGGTAGTCACCCCAGCAGGTGGTCACCACAGCAGGTGGTCACCACAGCAGTTAGTCACCATAGCTGTAGTCACCACAGCAGTTAGTCACCACAGCAGTTAGTCACCACAGCAGGTAGTCACCACAGCAGGTAGCCACCACAGCAGGTAGTCACCCCAGCAGGTGGTCACCACAGCAGGTAGTCACCACAGCAGGTGGTCACCACAGCAGGTGGCTACCACAGCAGGTAGTCACCACAGCAGGTGGTCACCACAGCAGGTAGTCACCACAGCAGGTGGTCACCACAGCAGGTGGCTACCACAGCAGGTAGCCACAGCAGGTAGTCACCACAGCAGGTAGTCACCACAGCAGGTAGTCACCACAGCAGGTGGTCACCACAGCAGGTGGCTACCACAGCAGTTAGTCACCACAGCAGGTAGTCACCCCAGCAGGTGGCCACCGCAGAAAGTAGTCACCACAGCAGGTAGCTACCACAGCCGTTAGTCACTACAGAAGGCAGTCACCACAGAAGGTAGTCACCACAGCAGGTGGTCACCACAGCAGGTGGCTACCACAGCAGTTAGTCACCACAGCAGGTAGTCACCCCAGCAGGTGGTCACCACAGAAAGTAATCACCACAGCAGGTAGTAACCACAGCATGTAGTCACCCCAGCAGGTGGTCACCACAGCAGGTAGTCACCACAGCAGGTAGTCACCCCAGCAGGTGGTCACCACAGCATGTAGTCACCACAGCAGGTAGTCACCACAGCAGGTGGTCACCACAGCAGGTGGCTACCACAGTAGGTAGTCACTACAGCAGGTGGTCACCACAGCAGGTGGCTACCACAGCAGGTAGTCACCACAGCAGGTAGTCACCACAGCAGGTGGTCACCACAGCAGGTGGCTACCACAGCAGGTAGTCACCACAGCAGGTAGTCACCACAGCAGGTAGTCACCCCAGCAGGTAGTCACCCAGCAGGTTGTCACCACAGCAGTTGGTCACCACAGCAGTAGTCACCACAGCAGGTAGTCACCACAGCAGGTAGTCACCCCAGCTGGTAGTCACCCCAGCAGGTGGTCACCACAGCAGGTGGTCACAACAGCAGGTAGTCACCACAGCAGTAGTCACCACAGCAGGTAGTCACCACAGCAGTAGTCACCACAGCATGTAGTCATCACTGCAGGTAGTCACCTCAGAAGGTAGTCACCACAGCAGGTAATCACCCCAGCAGGTGGTCACCACGGAAAGTAGTCACCACAGCAGGTAGTCACCCCAGCAGGTGGTCACCACAGAAAGTAGTCACCACAGCAGGTAGTCACCACAGAAGGTAGTCACCACAGCAGGTAGTCACCACAGAAAGTAGTCACGCCAGCAGGTGGTCATCACAGAAAGTAGTCACCACAGCAGGTAGTCACCACAGAATGTAGTCACCACAGAAAGTAGTCACCCCAGCAGGTGGTCACCACAGAAAGTAGTCACCACAGCAGGTAGTCACCACAGAAGGTAGTCACCACAGCAGGTAGTCACCACAGCAGGTAGTCACCACAGAAGGTAGTCACCACAGCATGTAGTCACCACAGCAGGTAGTCACCACAGAAAGTAGTCACCCCGGCAGGTGGTCACCACAGAAAGTAGTCACCACAGCAGGTAGTCACCACAGAAGGTAGTCACCCCAGCAGGTAGTCACCACAGCAGGTAGTCACCACGGCAGGTAGTCACCACAGCAGATAGTCACCCCAGCAGGTAGTCACCACAGCAGGTAGTCACCACAGCAGGTAGTCACCACAGCAGGTAGTCACCACAGCAGGTAGTCACCCCAGCAGGTAGTCACCCAGCAGTTAGTCACCCCAGCAGTTAGTCACCCCAGCAGGTAGTCACCACAGCATGTAGTCACCACAGCAGGTAGTCAATCCAGCAGGTAGTCACCCCAGCAGGTAGTCACCACAGCTGGTAGTCACCACAGCAGGTGGTCAATTTCGCTGCTCTAAGCAAGCTATGGAGAAGGAGCATAGACAGGGGTAAAATCTCAGTCACTAGAAACAACGGGTATATCCCACTCCATAAAGAAGACAACAAAGCAATAGCTAAGAACTACAGATCAACAACTTAAACATCCCATATCATAAAAATCCTTGAAAGAGTTCTAAGAAGTATGATTGCCGAGTACTAGGATTCCCAACAGTTGCACAACCAAGGGCAGTATGGGTTTAGAGCAGGTCGATCCTGCCTCTCACAACTACTGGACCACTAAAATATGGTACTGGATGCTTTAAAAGACAGAATGCGGATGTAATATTCACACAAAATGCATGCTAAAGGGATAACTGAGAAAGTGGACAGATGAATCTACAACTTTCTAACCAATCGAACACAGAGAGTAGTGGTTAGAGTTAAGCCAGAGGCTGCACAGTGAAAAGTTGTTTCACAAGGCACAGTACTCGCCCCCATCCTCTTCCTCAAGACATAGATAGAGATGTAAACCATAGCTGTGTGTAAACCTTTGTAGGCAATACTAGAATTTGCATGAGACTGTCATCCAATGAGAACAAGGTAAATCTCCAAGCGGATATAAACCAATTTTTAGGTATATCTAAATGTAGCATATGTCTTATTTACTGCTAGCTAAGACCGGGATGAGCCATTAGTATTATTAAAGACCTGGGTAAACTTTATTACTAGCGAAAACAAAAGGAATCTCGTGTACTGGGAAGCAGGGGTTACCAGAGACAGCGAAGGAATGGTTCTCTTACCGAGCCTTGTAACTACACAAGGCTCATTAATACTGAAGAATATTTTATTCACCGCAAGGATGAGGGGGTGGGAGGTTGAAGCTCCTAGCATACATATACTGAAAGATCCACACCTCTAAGTGTATTTGTGTAAGAAAGGTATAAAATACCGACAATATGAAAGTTAAGACACATGTGCAACATCTGGATATCTCCTCCACCACGATGCTGTGAACACTAACTCCAAGGCCGAGGGACTGATTACCTCATCTTTTGTATATAGTTCTACTGTCTTCCTATTATGTCCTAGAATCTGTATTGATAAAGCCACTGGATGGCGAAACGTCTACAATAAAGATATCCAGATGTTGCACATGTGTCTTAACTTTCAAGTGTATTTGTACCTGTGCTGGAGGGGTCAGGACACCTGGCACAGCTGCATGATTCATCCAAACATTTATTAGCGTGTACAAGATCTATTTACAAATGGTCATTGCACAGACGCTTGGGTCTGGAAAGGTGTTTTCCGACAGTCATGTTTGACCGCCTAAATCCCACGAAAATCTCCTTATTATAGTGAGTCTAATTACCAGAGAATTTTTGTTGTTCTTATGATTGTAATGTCTATTTTTACGAATTTTATTTATAATAATAACAATAATTATACAAACAACAGCAAAAATAATAATAATAACAATATTAATAACAAAATAAACAATAATAAAAATAATAATAATAAGGCTAATAAATAAAACACATAATCATATTATTATTTATATTGTATGTTGAATATTTTTAACGAACAAATTAACTTCCAACATCGAGAAGATAACATTGTAATGTTCCTCCCCCTCGTTAACACATACTGTTAGAACTAGATGTTAACTCAAACGTTCACTTGCTCAACGTAAACGTTGATAAATTAGACACATGTGCAACTCTTGGGTATCTTTATTGAGGAAACGTTTCGCCACACAGTGGCTTCATCAGTCCATACGTAGGAGAAACTTGAAGAACAGGAGAAGAATGAGGTAATCAGTCCCTCAACCTTGAGTCGATGTGTTCAGTCCATCTATTCAAGATTGATGGACTAAACACATCGACTCAAGGTTGAGGGACTGATTACCTCATTCTCCTCCTGTTCTTCAAGTTTCTCCTATGTATGGACTGATGAAGCCACTGTGTGGCGAAACGTTTCCTCAATAAAGATACCCAAGAGTTGCACATGTGTCTAATTTATCAACATGTCGGTTCTCTGAACCATTCATCTACAAACGTAAACGTTGGGAGGCTCCAACCATTGTCCCTTCCCTCCCTCCCTATATTGTGTATATTCGTTACAGTTGAGGCTAAGACTGAATAACGGTAACTATGAGCTGGATTTTACTTATAGGATAATAGTGGAAAGTTTCTCCCCAGGCGGATGTTAAGTCATATAATGACTCGCTCCCAGGAGCATGTGTTTATTTGAAGATTTAAACACACACATCTATATGCGTTATATATATATATATATATATATATATATATATATATATATATATATATATATATATATATATATATATATATATATATATATATATTATATATATATATATGACCACGAACGAGTGGTATTGATCAATAACAACACTGCACTAGCCAAGGACTCGAACCCATGCTGCTTTGGCCTGCCTCATTCAGTTCTGCTGGATGCGCTACTCTTAAGGATCGCATGGTCCAGTGGATTAAGACGTCATGTTTTTTCGCCCACCATGAGGCAGGCCAAAGCAGCATGGGTTCGTGACCTTGGCTAGTGCAGTGGTGATATATATATATATATATATATATATATATATATATATATATATATATATATATATATATATATATATATATATATATATATATATATATTGTGTGTGTGTGTGTGGTGTGTGTGTGCCCACGAACAAGTGGTATTGATCAATAACAACACTGCACTAGCCAAGGACTCGAACCCATGCTGCTTTTGCCTGCCTCATGGTGGGCGAAAACTCATGACGTCTTAATCCACGGGACCATACAATCCTTAAGAGTAGCGCACCCAGCAGAACTGAATGTTGTACTCGTTATTGATCAATACCACTTGTTCGTGGGTACAGTAATATAAAATACTGCTCGTTGTACTAGTACACCAAACAGGGACTAGAATGAAATTAGCCTAGAATCATCCACACCATCCTGTGTCCTTGGGTAGCGACTATAAGAAATCACAATATAACGTGCGACTGCAAATATGTAAAACATACTACAGTGAATATATATATTAATAACATGTTGGTTGTCTCCCACCGAGGCAGAGTGACCAAAAACCGAAGAAACATTCTCATCATCATTCACTCCATCACTGGCGCACCTACACTACAGTTATAAAACATTAACATTAACACTCCTCCTTCAGAGTGCAGACACTGTACTTCCCACCTCCAGTGCACCACGGAGAAACAAGAGTGTGTGGAGTGACATAGCTCCCCAAGTGACGCTGAGGCTGAGTGGTGTAAAGCGTCACTTGGGGAGCTGTGCCACTCCACACACTCACTGACCAATTTAGACATCTAATAATCGGTTTTAATCTTATTATAAACTGCATCACACGGTACATAAAATATGTTAGAGCTTAGACATATGTACCACATTATGTGGTATAAATATATCACATCACATAGCATATATACAATACATAATAAGTACATAGTTCTTCTTGGACTATAATAAATTTGTATTATCCTGAATTCTTCGAAAGTACTAACATGTATAAAACAAGAACCAGTTTTAACATTCTTTAAAATGTTCATTTTTTTTTGTATTTCTTTATTGATTTTTTTTTGTAAGTTAGCTAAATATAATATGAACTAATTACACAAGAGACGTACCCACCCGGCACATCACACCCACCCGTGACAGAAATGACGAATCTTTAACATCCTCTCCCAGTTGTTCCTCATTTATACATCGCCATACATCGCCATACATCGCCATACATCGCCATACATCGCCATACATCGCCATACATCGCCATACATCGCCATACATCGCCATTATGTCTACAAATGCCATTACGTATAAAACTTTGTTGCCAGAGCAGAAGGGTAAGTTCTTTTTAGTTCAGATTTAAGAAATAATTGCGTAAAAGAAAAAAAAAATATTAGAAATGTATTCTATAATATTTTAGTGAATATATCAAAACTGATCCCATACGTAGAATACCGACTTTGTTATAAGACGGCCCCAGACAACACAGTAGCAGGCCTGGTCAAGGGCTGCGCCTAGGGGGCGTTGACCCCTGAAATATCCTCCAGATACATAGTAGAAATTTGTAGAAAGACCCTTTACAGAATCGTTCTGGATCATTATTCTCAGACTGGCTTTATCTGGCATCATACTGGTAAACAAAACATATATTTTAGCATAATTTAAAGCTATAATATGTTACAAAGTCTCAGACAAGGCAGAAAGAACACAAGTATTGCAGTATTACATATGATTAACTATTATCTTAAGGAAGGTTAGTACAAGCGTAGATAAGAGTAATGGTTGTACAGGAATGGTATACAATACCGACGAGGTTAATAGTTAGACACATGTGCAATGGGTATCTTTATCAGTAGACGTTTCGCCCTCCGGCGGCTTTGTTATAGTCTTGAAAACTACGGTGTTCTTTACCAGTTCTAAGGCTGAGGGACTGATTACCTGGTCTTTTGTATATAGTTCTACAGTCTTCCCTGTATGTCCTTGAATTTGTATTGATAAATCTAGTGGATGGCGAAACGTCTACAATAAACATACCCAGATGTTGCACATGTCTAATTCTCCAAGAGTATTGGTATTGCTGGGACATTTCGAAAACTGACTAGTGTCAATATAATGGTGTTGGAATATACATAGATTTCTCTAAATATCCTTTAAATTACCATTTACTAATGCAATATACACACTGGAAAACATATGTATACTAAAGCAACAATAATTGGATTCCCAAGAAGAATTTTTGTACCGTTCACAACTTTCTGTTGATGTTAATTGATGTTGTCGTAGATGGGTTCCTCGTTATCATAACCTGTGTTGTCGTAGATGTGGTCAGCGCCTACGAGAGACAATATTTACAGTGAGAACTGAAGTTCCTACCTGCATATCTCATATCTTCTGTACTTTTTAAGTGAAACATAAAAGTTACTATGAAAGTGTTAGGGGTAAAGCTCTCAGATATACCCAAAAGGGAAGACACAATATTTTAATAAGATCAATATGAGGGTAAGTTTCTGTTGTCATAAACTGTGAAAGACTTAGTCAGAATAATTAATATTCAGGTGAATTCAAGTATTTTCAAGGGAAAATTTACAATCGATTTTCGACCTGTTTTTCTTCTTCAAATATATGGAAGAAAATATTGCCAGTGAATCTAGAATTTTATGGCTCTCAAAACCAATTCAGTAATTAGTACTTCTAACCTAATAATAATAATAATAATAATAATAATAATAATAATAATAATAATAATAATAATAATAATAATTATTATTATTATTATTATTATTATTATTATTATTACCTTTTTCAGTTTTATTGTGGATATTAATATTTTCATTAATATATTCTATACTGAGTGTCAAGCACAAAACATTAACGTATAAATACTTATTGAAATACTCGTAATAAAGTTGACCTTGACCAGTACGTCATCACATTACCTGCATAATCCATGTTCCACAGGTGAGGCGCCTCGATATAAGCAGTAATACACTTGAACAGGTACAAGTACTGGTCCTGAGGAAGACAAGCTCCTATCATCTCACTACGTCACCAGTTCCTCTCATGCTATATTCATATTTATGATTTGATATTGTTCGGCAGCCAATGAAGTCATTTTTAGCGAATTTCTAAACACGGGACAATATGTCATTAGAAAACAACACGGGAAAATATACCACTAAATGATGACTCCTGTCATGCATACATATATATATATATATATATATATATATATATATATATATATATATATATATATATATATATATATATATATATATATATATATGCATACTTACATACGGACAGAGAGGCACATACATTCATACATACACCTCTACATACATACATAGATACACAGCTTAAAAGACGCTCCTTTATACACACACACACACACACACACACACACACACACACACACACACACACACACACACACACATATATATATATATATACCCATACATACAGACACTTACCGCAGCCTGGACCATATGTGGACGATATTCCCTCATGTCCAACACTGTCTTCTTAACATTGATGACCTGAGCTGTGTTGTCAGTGTCAACGATGTCTATCAAGTTCCACAGTCCAATGAAGGTGCCTGTCCGTCCCACTCCAGCACTGAGTGACGCATCAAACTTACACTCAACACCCAGTGACGGTGACAGAGTGGCCGTCAATACAAGTGACAGGGAACGTGGTTACAACCAACACAAGTACAGGGGACGTGGTTACAACTACCACAAGTGACAGGGAACGTGGTTACAAAAAACACAAGTGACAGAGAACGTGGTTACAACCACCACAAGTGACAGGGAACGTGGTTACAACCACCACAAGTGACAGAGAACGTGGTTACAACCACCACAAGTGACAGGGAACGTGGTTACAACCACCACAAGTGACAGGGAACGTGGTTACAACCAACACAAGTGACAGAGAACGTGGTTACAACCACCACAAGTGACAGAGAACGTGGTTACAACCACCACAAGTGACAGGGAACGTGGTTACAACCACCACAAGTGACAGGGAACGTGGTTACAACCACCACAAGTGACAGGGAACGTGGTTACAACCAACACAAGTGACAGGGAACGTGGTTACAACCAACACAAGTGACAGGGAACGTGGTTACAACCACCACAAGTGACAGGGAACGTGGTTACAACCACCACAAGTGACAGGGAACGTGGTTACAACCAACACAAGCGACAGAAAGCAGGGTTACAGCTATTCAGAAACGGCAAGATGACAGACAACAGGTTTACAAGCAATAGATTGACAAACAACAGAATAACAGGCAGCAAAGGTAAAAAGAAACAGGCTGACAGGCAACATAATGACAGGCAGGAGAGTGACACACAAACTAATAAATAAACAACTGGGCTACAGGAAACAAAAGCAGCAATAAGAGGATCACAGGCAAACGAAGGAAGAACCAGGTCAATACGAGGCAACAAAAACAATAAAACTAACATTAATTATTAATAATATTCTGTACATACTGTCTTAGAGATATTGAATGATATACTGAACTGAGAACCACAGAATTTAGACTTAAAATACTCTGGTGTAATCACCAACGCATCATTTTAGAGATACAGTGAATCTTCGCTTAGAATTATAAATTAAAACATGTGCAACACTTGGGTATCTTTACCGTGGAAACGTTATGCCACACAGTGGCTTCATCAGTCAGGTACAAAGAAGAATGGTTGAAGATCAGAAGGAGTTTGAGGTAATCAGTCCCTCATGTTGGATGAAGTGAGTATTAAGTGAATGAATTTATATATTGGAGAGAGAGAGGACATATCGGCAAATGGATTAATGGAAGACGAGTTGACTCATAGAATAAACAAAAGGGATAAAGGTAACTGAAGTGTAGATGCATCTGTGGAAAGAGAGAAGTTTATCTATGCAGGCAGACAGGAGATTAAATGATGTGGGAGTTATGAAATGAATAATTCAGAGGATAGAGAAATTGTGGAGATGATATGGCTATTTAGAAAGGATGGAGAATAACAGTACCATAAGAAAGAGGGTAGAAGGAGGGGTAGGGATTATACCAAGATGGGGTGGAGGGAGAAGATGAAGGTTTTAAGTGGAAGGACTATGGTACCCGGTAAGCACGTGTGTGGGGGTGTTAGATCCGAGTGAACTGAGACCGGCATTGCAAGTTCTGTTGGAGTGTGAGCAAGGTAACGTTTATGAAGAGATTCCGGGTAACCAGCTATCTAGATTCGAGTCCTGGAAGGGAAAGATACAGTGCCTGCACTCAGAAGGTGTGGGATGCTGTAGTTCTGAGGGTCATTTGATTAGGTGTTGAGGGTCATTTGATTGGGTGTTGAGGGTCATTTGATTAGGTGTTCAGGGTCATTTGATTGGGTGTTCAGGGTCATTTGATTGGGTGTTGAGGATCATTTGATTGGGTGTTGAGGGTCATTTGATTAGGTGTTCAGGGTCATTTGATTAGGTGTTCAGGGTCATTTGATTGGGTGTTGAGGGTCATTTGATTAGGTGTTGAGGGTCATTTAATTGGGTGTTGAGGGTCATTTGATTAGGTGTTCAGGGTCATTTGATTAGGTGTTCAGGGTCATTTGATTGGGTGTTGAGGGTCATTTGATTGGGTGTTGAGGGTCATTTGATTAGGTGTTGAGGGTCATTTGATTGGGTGTTGAGGGTCATTTGATTAGGTGTTGAGGGTCATTTGATTGGGTGTTGAGGGTCATTTGATTGGGTGTTGAGGGTCATTTGATTAGGTGTTGAGGGTCATTTGATTGGGTGTTGAGGGTCATTTGATTAGGTGTTGAGAGTCATTTGATTAGGTGTTCAGGGTCATTTGATTGGGTGTTGAGGGTCATTTGATTGGGTGTTGAGGGTCATTTGATTAGGTGTTGAGGGTCATTTGATTGGGTGTTCAGGGTCATTTGATTAGGTGTTCAGGGTCATTTGATTGGGTGTTGAGGGTCATTTGATTGGGTGTTGAGGGTCATTTGATTAGGTGTTGAGGGTCATTTGATTGGGTGTTGAGGGTCATTTGATTAGGTGTTGAGGGTCATTTGATTGGGTGTTGAGGATCATTTGATTGGGTGTCAACATAATTCTGCAAAGTTAGCCATGAAATGAATGAAAGCGAAAGAGTTTCCTGTTCTGATTCAGCTTCACTTGATGGAAGATCACGGAACAAACAGGCCAGTGCGTTAACACACTGACCTGTGAGTTTTAGGACTCACTCGCCATGGGTTCACAACCCACCCATTCCCTGATTTGTCTGCAATCGTGTTATTACTCTTTCGCGAGACTTGAACAGATGTCCAATGTGCTAAAACAAATCTTGAGTCTTTCTTAAGCAAAACGAGTCGATACATGCCAATAATGGGCATGTAAGTCTTCCGTCTTCTAACTTGTTTATTTTCCCACTATAATCTACTTTGTACATAACTACTATCACATTTCCTTTGTCTGCTTCGTAAGGTGAAGTCCAGGATCTTTCCTTAATTCATGGTATAACAAATATTTGATGACAATTGTTATTGTAGAGGTGTGAGCACAGAAGGGGGAACTTACATGCCCCTTAATGTGAAGGTTAAAAGGGCGGGGTCAAGTGGAAAAGTAGTGTGAAGGAGAGTGTTAGTTGACAGTAAATACATCAGTGGAGAGGTTACCTGCAGTGCACCAGCAGGTGGTCGCCGTTGGTAGGCATGCTATTTTTAATTTCTGCAATGAAGTCCAGAAGATATTCCTCTCGTTGTGGAGCACCGAAGTCTGGCCAACCTGTGAAGTGGTACTGCTTTACCAGCCTCTTCGTGCTGCCCTGTTGTGCACATTGAAAGAAAAGAACATTATCAGGGTTATTAACCAAGGGAGGGGGTTATTAATCCAGGATAACCCAAGAAAGCCAGTGTGACTTATTTCCTTAAAAATCCTTAAAGTCGTCCTTCAGGATGCGACCCACTCTTGTAAATTGGTGGCTTAAAGCTGCCAGTGTTCAAGAGTGGGTAGCAATGTTCAGCCTAAAGTCTGAACAAAAACGACAGTTAAGGACACGGTCTTTTGAGAGATAACGCTTCTTGAACGACCATAGGTACTGAAGATGTAAATAAGCCAATGAATGATAATAATAAAAATAAATAAAAATAATAATAATAATATCTTTATTTCTACCAGTACATGTACACGGTATACAGGCCACAGCTGACATCATTGACATACTACTATATAGAAAGCACCTTGTTTTGCAATTTCTGACAAATTAGGGCAGTTTTGTCCCGGGATGCGACCCACACCAGTCAAATAACACCCAGGTAACCATTTTTCACTGATGGCTGAACATAGACAACCGGTGTAAGGAAACACGCCCAATGTTTCTACCCTCTCTTGGAATCGAACCCAGACACCTCACCGTGTGAAGCGAGAGCTTTGCCACCAGGCCACGGGCCTGACACGCGAGAAAAGTTATCCCAATGTACGTAACCAGTTAAAATTTCCGCAAAAATCTGGAATAAAAAAATTTCAAGAAAATATCAGAAACAATTTATGAATGCCAGTGATGTTTCAGGTAGGTGTTTACCTGGAGACCTGGAGACCTGGTGTAAAGCAAATCACATTACCATTATGACACTGCAGCTTATTACTCACCTCAGATATCTCCAGGAACCTTATGATGTAGAAGGATCTCTCCTCCTCCGTGTGGTTGCGAATTGTAAAACTTCCAGCTTTGATGAAAGATTCGCTCGACCTGGGCCAGTAATGGAAGCACTTCTCCTGCATACACAACCAACCCAATAAATGAAAAAGAAATTAGTGGAAAAATGGCTGTTGTGATTCCTCTCAATAAAAGGCTATGTCCCTACCATTAAATTACTATTTTAATCGGCCTGCCCTTAATCGTGTGAAAATTAAGAGAATCAGCAACAGATGTAATTCGAACTGAAACTGATGAACACAAAGTGATTCGTGACTTACGAATCCTTGAAGGCTTATTCTTGCTTAACAAATTTTGTCTTCAGAAGTGTCCTTGAGGTGGAGGACAATGTTAAATAGCACGATGGTGTTTGGAACGTGACTTTGTGAAGAATTCCAATTAGGAAACCACTGAAGAAAGTGTTAGCAGGTGGTATTAAGAGGGAAAATCATCACATGGATCGAACCATACCCAAAAATATCGTAATTATCTTTAGATTGACCTAACTTTAAGTTAGATTAATTAAAGTTAACCTATTTTAGGTTAGGTTAATTTAATCATGAACTAAACTTGTTACAGTGGGGGGAACTAGGCTTGTTACAGTGGTGGGAACTAGACTTGTTACAGTGGTGGGAACTAGACTTGTTACAGTGGTGGGAACTAGACTTGCTACAGTGGTGGAAACTAGACTTGTTACAGTGGTGGGAACTAGACTTGTTACAGTGGTGGGAACTAGACTTGTTACAGTGGTGGGAACTAGACTTGTTACGGTGGTGGGAACTAGACTTGTTACAGTGGTGGGAACTAGACTTTTTACAGTGGTGGGAACTAGACTTGTTACAGTGGTGGGAACTAGACTTGTTACAGTGGTGGGAACTAGACTTGTTACGGTGGTGGGAACTAGACTTGTTACAGTGGTGGGAACTAGACTTGTTACAGTGGTGGGAACTAGACTTTTTACAGTGATGGGAACTAGACTTGTTACAGTGATGGGAACTAGACTTGTTACAGTGATGAGAACTAGATTTGTTACAGTGGTGGGAACTAGACTTTTTACAGTGGTGGGAACTAGACTTGTTACGGTGGTGGTAACTAGACTTGTTACAGTGGTGGAAACTAGACTTGTTACAGTGGTGGGAACTAGACTTGTTACAGTGGTGGAAACTAGACTTGTTGCAGTGATGGGAACTAGACTTGTTACAGTGGTGGGAACTAGACTTGTTACAGTGGTGGAAACTAGACTTGTTACAGTGGTGGGAACTAGACTTGTTACAGTGGTGGGAACTAGACTTGTTACAGTGGTGGGAACTAGACTTGTTACAGTGGTGGAAACTAGACTTGTTACAGTGGTGGGAACTAGACTTGTTACAGTGGTGGAAACTAGACTTGTTACAGTGATGGGAACTAGACTTGTTACAGTGATGGGAACTAGACTTGTTACAGTGGTGGGAACTAGACTTGTTACAGTGATGGGAACTAGACTTGTTACAGTGATGAGAACTAGATTTGTTACACTGATGGGAACTAGACTTGTTACAGTAGTGGAAACTAGACTTGTTACAGTGGTGGGAGAGGTAATCCAGTACCACACAACCCCAGCCACTTGTACCTCAACCACTGCCACTTAGTTTCCGCAGAAGCTGCAGCTCAACTCTCTCAAGAAACTGGTGAACATAATTCAACCATCCCGAAAAGCCCAGGAGCTAGAGTTCATCATCTTTAGAAGTCCACAAACTCTGAGCTCAGTTTACTCAAGAAGTCTAGCAATTCCTGCTTAACATCTTCAAATTGCCCAGGAGCTGAATTTCAACACTTTGCAGAGGCACAGAAGCTGTAAATTAACACCATCAAAAATATCTGGAGCTGGAGTTCAACCCATTCAAACACTGTTAAAATGTAATTAGTCTTATTAAATGAAACCAGGCTAGGGATTCCATAGAGTTTTTTTAAGTAAATAAGAGAGAAGCTAAAGCGGGTTGGTGATTCTGTAGACTTTCCCCCACTAAACAGAGATGCTATAATAATTGTGTCTTCAGGGGATAGATTCTTGGTGTCGTATCACATAAACCATCACACTGATTCTTATGACACTCATGATTCATGTACTCCTAAACAAGAATATTGTATTTTGTAAATTATAATTAAAATATTGAATAAGTTTTAATCTTCCAAAATGTTTATCAGATGGGTAAATGTATATTTCTTCAGTTCAAGAGCAATGTAACTTTTAATTTGAACAAAATTCAACAAATTATTTTTAGCTTCTAAAAATTTTGTTACAAATATTGGCAGCTTTACATTAAAGCAAACTAAAACTACCCTGACTTTTTCTCTGGGATGGAAACATCAGCAGTGTGAGTTTGAACTCGCTCAGAAGAGGCGTTCTCAAGTTATCTACATAAACCATAGAGGAAGAAACAAATAAGAAATAATAATAATAAGTCTGACAATCAGTAAAGACGTTTTGTGTTAGGGATTAATAAAATTTGATATTTTATTATCCCTGTCTAAATCATGCAGAAAGTAACGCACGGTAATACTTGCAGGACGAGTTGATCTACTGGACAGAGATTACCTGGAACCAGATAAGTGTTACTAACCAGTCATGTTACCGTGACACGGGAACTTGTTACGAATTTTACGATCTTCAGAACATATGAGACACCAGATAAATCTTACAAACTTCTACTACATTCCTGTACGTTTATATGAACTTCCTGGAGCCTTTCTCAATAGTTCTTAGTCCTGTAATATTTCCTATCCAATTCAGGAGGCGCAGTCTGAGACCGGAGTGCCAGTGAAATGATCCCGGGAAACATTACTAAATTCTGTCATTGGATGTCATCCTGGCCATCTCTACATGCTTAGAGAGAATGATATACGTTGGTTGTAGCTGGCAGGGGATGCGATGCCTCCCACAACCACCAAGACACCAGTGTGACTACTTACCCTGCCCTTCTCAACCAGGTTGGTGAGCATTATGATCACATAGACACGCTGCTCCCACACCATCCTCCAGAAGTCCGCTGTGGTGTTGGACTTGGGACCCTGAGCTGCGATGAAGTACGCCTTGTTGTTTGTGTTCTGTTTGAGAGAGTATGTGTGAAAGTATGAGACGAAAGAGAGAGAGAGAGGGGGGGGGGAGAAGGGAGAAAGGCGAGGTTGGGATGAAGTTGAGAGAATCCATATTACGGCCCTCTGCCAATGTACTTCGCAACTAGCTATTACTACTATAGTATTACTGCCTCTACTAATACTACTACAACTACTGTACTCCCACCACCATCACTATTACTCCAACTAATAATAATAATAATAATAATAATAATAATAATAATAATAATAATAATAATAATAATAATAATATATAATAAAGTGAGTACTTATTGCTCTGCTAATAAATGTACTTACCAATATGTAACTAGCGTTGATATAGTCAGATCCTGTCTTGTTGTTAAGTGCTGAGAGTTTCACTCTGGCGTTGTCGACTGCGGGAGACCAGAACAATTGATCATTAATAACATCAGTATCGTAACATTACTTGCACACTGACATATGAATAACAAGCCTTTGTAAAAAAATCCACCTTTTAAGCCCAAATAAATATGCAGCTGATTAACATATATGAGCTCTCTCACTCTCGTGTGTTAGTGTGACTTGTAAATGGTATAAGTCAGAACGAAGTGTCATTATAAGCTTCTCTGTCCTATGAGCGGGTTATTTGTGCATTGTTCCAGCTACGGTATTGTGCGTTTTTGTTCTTTAGGCTTAGGCCGTCTGTCGGCAATATTATCTTTTTTTAAACATCGTTGAATTTAGTAACTTTGAACTGTTGTCAAACCTCAGCGTATTTCAGCATCAAAACTAATGTAAGATAAACAACCTTGAATGTCACCCATAACACTTGACTAACACTTTCCTACTTACCAATTTATTACTATACTACAAAAAGACAGTTGTTATGCTAAGTAATTTATACTATGTATGATAATTATACTTATGTGTATGTGTTCCAAAATTCATTTGCTTACTGTTACCCATGTACCTTTTTAATGCTAGGTAAGACGAGCGTATAGTGGAAGGGGTCTTGCATATGCGTCTCCATTCTTCCTGGATTGTATTCGGTTGTCTTGGTTGTTTTTCGAAGGTGCCCCCACGAAGGAGCCTCCACGAAGGTGTCCCCACGAAGGTGCCCCCACGAAGGTGCCCCCACGAAGGTGCCCCCACGAAGGTGCCCCCACGAAGGTGCCCCTACGAAGGTGCCTCCACGAAGGTGTCCCCACGAAGGTCCCCCCACGAAGGTGCCCCCACGAAGGTGCCCCTACGAAGGTGCCTCCACGAAGGTGTCCCCACGAAGGGGTTCCCACGAAGGTGTCCCCACGAAGGTGCCTCCACGAAGGAGCCCCCACGAAGGTGTCCCCACGAAGGTGCCCCCACGAAGGTGCCCCCACGAAGGTGCCCCCCCACGAAGGTGCCCCCACGAAGGTGCCTCCACGAAGCAATGATACTTATATATACGTAATATAAATCCAAAATAGCTTAAGTAATGAAAAAGTTGTACCACATCTTGTGTTCTTGGTTTGTTGCATCACATACCATCACTTGTGTGATGATGCTTCACATACCATCACTCGTGTGATGATGCTTCACATACCGTCTCCTATGTGACGATGCCTCACACTTTTGTATCCTCCTCATATGTTAAACTTTGTGTTATTTCCAACATTATTTAACATTAAATTTTATGGACAGATATATCTCACTTACGATAAATTCTGTCAGTCATTATTGTGATCTGTGTCAGTTGGGTCTACACAAATGTTTAGCTGAGCTTGTAATTACATGACAAAGTCCCCGTCAAGATAAGATAAGATAAGATAAGATTTCGTTCGGATTTTTTAAATTTCCAGTTTCTCCTGGAGACAAAATACAACCATCAGGAGCACTTGTG